TCATAAATTCTGTCGAATATCTTTTTAGCGTGTTCTAATGATACTGTACATTAAATCCATTTTTAAAAAAAAACCAAAATAATCCACTTCATAAAAGATATTTGTCTACCAGCAATGCATAATATAGGAGGATTCTGCTGAAAATCATTGAATTCCTTCAATATCCATTTTGACGCCATAAATTTACCCTTTTTAATCATAAAAACCGAAGAAAAATGAAATTGAGAGAAATTGGTACGAGTATATGGTTGAGGGTGGGGTAGAAAAGAAAAAATAAAAGATTATGATTTTACATTTAATAATTTAAGATAATTTTATATTTAAACTTAATCGACAATATATATATTATTATCACATTTTAAGTTTTTTTAAAAAAAATTTAAATCGATCTCAATCGAGCCGTCAAGCCACTATACTGAATTAAATGTAAATTTAAAAAAATAAAAATAAAATGGCTTAGTCGAGTCGAGCCGAGCCGTCAAGCCATTTGGCTCAACTCGGCTCGACTTATGAACAGTAAAAAAAATGACTCTTTAATTTATGTAAACTCTAAAATATAATTAACTTCATTTTTGGCACAACTCAGTTGCCGTCAAGACAATAGGACAAAGAAATGACTCATTATGGACAAGAAAAGCCCTCAACCATGCTACATGCAGCATTATTGATTTACTATTCCCTCACAAGAGGACCCCGCCACATTTATGAATACGACAACATTGTTCATCAGTCTGATAAAAATTAATTTTATCATTCTATAAAGCGACAAAATTCAAGTGGCTACACTATTGATGATAAACAAATTTATGAAAAGACAGCAACATAAAATTATAAATGCATTTCCACAATAAATAGCTGATTCTGGTAGACATTCGTTCTGACCCAATTTCTCATAGAATAATCAGCAATGAACTTGAGAAACAACTAAATTTAAAATATTTTCTTTTAATAATTCTATCTCGATCCAAAAGCACAAAATTTCAAAACCCAGAAATTACCGATCTTATAGACTAAAAATTAGTAAAGCACGCTTCACTGCGAATGAAAATCATTTAAACCCAGAACGACAAACTCCAAATTAGTACAATCCATTTAATTAAATACAAAATTCTGTTTGAAGCAGACGTGTATAAACATAAAAAAGAGTATAATTTACTAAAATACTGCACCGCATGCATAATCAAGCAGGGAAAAGTGACTGACCTGGGTTCGAAAACCGAAGATTGAGTTAGTTGGGTTAAGATAAATAAAGGCGGGGATGGTAGAGGGCAAAAAGCATATGAAAATGAGAATAAAACTTTAGCTCTTATCTCTCTCTCTCTCCCTCTCTCTCTATAGATATAAAGATAATGGGAATGAAGGGGAAGGAGTCTATTAAAGATAAAACACTGAGATTAGACTGAGAAAGGGATAAAACTTTATGGAAAAAGCCTCTTGTACACTGCTGATGCACAGCTTTCTATACAGCATGTTGGTGATGTGCCCACTTAAAAAGGTGGGAATTTCAATTACACTTTTTATAATGGGATAATTAAGTCCATTGCTTTAATTATAAAGAAGGAATAATTAGAATAACAGAAATGATATAATGAGCACCAGTGCTTATCTTATCCTAAGCACCGATGAGTTGGCACATTAATTCATTGGTTGATAAATATTTTGTGTGCTTAGGATAAGATGAGCACCGGTGCTCATTAGATCATTTCTGATACTAACTTATAATTTAAAACAAACGAGAAGACAATCAAATTTATCAATGATAGTATTAAATTTTCCAGTTCCCACGAACATGTGGTAGCTGTAGCTGAGCCGGGTGTTGGGTGGGGGGGTGACCTACTTAAAAGTCAAATGTTCTGACGCCACTTTTAACGGCGTCAAAAAGCAAAAGATGTTAACTGTTAAGCAAAATAACAAACGCCTGCAGACAAAAACAAGGACGCCGTTAGGTCAATTCTTCTTCTGCAAAATCGATTCGCGAATATCAATGTATCGTAAAACACCAAAAATTTTATTCCCTGCAGCTCCCAGATTTGGTCAATTCGCTTTTGACTTTTCTATTTTTAATTTTTATTTAGTTTTCCAATTATTTTACAGTTTGATAAAAACTGCTGACGGGCGTGATTTGCTTTTTAGGTTACGGGTTTACACACTGGAGCACTGTATCCAACTTCAGAGAATAATTTATAATACTAAAATACTTTGACCCTGTTTGCTGGATTAAAATTTAATTTTTAGTAATTTTTTATAAAAATTGATAAAAGATATGATTGAAAAATTATGAGTTCTATAAAATATTTAATTAAAATTAAATTTTTGATTTTAATTTTAATTTTCACCAAACAAAGACTTAGAGTCTAATCAGGATATATGTTTCAATTAACTAGATAACACTATTTTAGCCAATGTTCTAAAATGTGTAATATATTGCGATGCGTCGAGGTCGAGAATCAAGAATCACAAGTTTAGGCGTGTCAATACGAAGAATAAACGTCATAATGCGTTTCGTATTTTTAAGGCATTAAATATATTTTTATATAAAATAATAAATTTTTTACCAAAAAAAATTAGGCGGCGCATTAGCAGGATTAGGCGCGCCTAGGCAGCACAATGCGCCGTCTTTTAGAACAAAAACGCATTTTTCGCTAATACCTCGAATTCGACACATTTTCTCCCCGCGCGTCGAGTCTAAGCGCGCTTAGGCGGCGCATTTTAGAACATGGATTTTAGCCCTTGTTTGACCCCCATTATAATGTGATTTTTGAAAATAATGTATTTTGGAATAGTAACTTTTGGAAGAATGTGTTGTTAAAAATAATAATTTTTTTATTTATTTATGTGTAATATTAAATGAGTGCTTGAAAAAAAGAAAAGGAAAAATGTATTAAAATTTTAGCTCATATTTGAGTTATATTAAAATTTTCATTTTCATTCTTTTACTCATTTTTCACTAGACATTCTTCAATAAAATAATATTTTTCATTACATCAATAACTTTTTTTTTCAACCACACACTCCATCGATCTACTATTTCATAATGGGTTATTCTACATGTACATAATTTTTTACCTAATCTTTTACACTCCACTCACATTTGGAAGTGGGGACCACGAGCCGCAATTAGCGGTGGCAAAAAAGCTCGGAGGCTCGGACGGCCCGAGCTCGGCTCGAAAAAAG